AGCTGAGGGCAGCGGACATATATTCCGACAACACTGCTGATAATCATAAAATTCAACTTCACTCTAAAATTCTCCACGTGTGAAGGGGAAAAGTGATGTCGTTTATTTTCTTCTGTCAGATTGAACTTTCCCCATTCGGGAACTTCCTAATTCTGACATTCGAAGCCCCGCGTAAAGCGACCAACGATGATGTCTGCTTGTCTGTGCCTCCTTCAACTGACATCGTTGGTAACATTCAGGGAAATTTATTCCGACGACGATGCGTCCATAATCGTTTGTATGAGAGAAGTCAGACGTTAATCTTGCTTGATCGATCATGTTGCTACTAGTGTATCTCCACTTTTTTACAAATCCTGAAATTCCTCACGGTTCCGGATATTTTTACCCCAACATAATCGTTTGGTCCCAAAGTCCATAGGTAAAGATGTTTTCTGTCCAGATGGTCATTGGATGTCGACTCTGCGACTACCTAAGAAGTTTCTCGCGGCTCCAAGGGAAAATTCCAAGTCTATGTTTTCATTCAACTGGTAAGAATGAACTATATTGTGGGTGGAATTATGTGCATTTTGCGTCCTATACAATGGAGTTTCACAACCCGTTTTACGTTGCGTAATACTCTGTGAAAAACTCGATATTGGCGGTGATATGCAGTAGTCGTGAAATGCATTTTTCACTAGGTTGTGAAAAATGTAATTCGTACAGTTACCACATTCATGGTGAGGAGGAGGAGAGGAAATACTTTGCGGCGTTTCCTGATGACACTGGGGATGAGGTCACGCCTGATTTTCATAGACTCCAGTACTTCAAGGTAAGAAAACTACAACACATTTTCTGATCATAGAAATTCGGCATTCGTGATTCCTCTTGGTTTGGACTCTATGTAGCGCGAGTGAGTTTTCTAGAGTTCCACGACCTGTTTTACGCGAAGTGGCGTAATACTCGGTGAAAGACGCGATATTCGCGGTGATATGCTTTTCACTAGTGTTTTTCATATTACTAGGGTGGTAAAACTCCTGTAGTGGTATTTATTCGGTGGTACCAATAGTGATTTGAAGGCTTGAAGTTTTCTGCCGTCCATGGTTAGCTGGTCGTTGTGTTCATCTGTGCTTCTGTTCAGGACCTTCCCGATGATGCTGTTTTCGGCGCTGAAGGCATCAAGCAATTGCGTGCTTAATACCTTTGGGTAGATTGTGATTGTTTCTTAGCAGATCTTTAGTGTTGAATTTACAGTTTCAATCACCCATACCATACCTCGCCGAACCCCCATTACTATCAGAGATGAGAGGCCTTGTAACTCTGTGTAATCTAGGGTTAGCGCGATTATTAGAGCGCAACGTCAAATACGCCTATAAATGAACTAACATGTCGAGTATTTATTTCGAACTTGTAAGTGTTAGCAAAGGAGTTCAGATTCGAACTGTTAACGTAATGGTGAGAATGACATTTAAACCGATACAGGTGCTTCGCTGGCGGATGCATATGGTAGATGGTAAAAGCGTTCACTGATACATCATAACACAACAACGATGAGTTCCGAGACCTTTCATCGACCTTTCATGATAAACTTCTAAGCACCATAACTACCACATACTTGACAACGACACTATAATAATGATCAAAGACCCGACAGGAGTCGTCAGTAGAGTACAGTAGGTACAAGTGCCATTGCTCAAATAAGAGCAATATTCACTCGTTGGATAACTCCTCAAGCTCTTCATAACAACAACAACCAAGGTGCTACTTCCTGACTAACGCAAGGCATTGCTATAAAACGAAACGTGCTCATACGGAAACGACAAAGGTCATCAGCATGCAACGATCATTTATTCCTTTTCTTACCACTCCACTGCAGGAAGGAAAAACGCTGACCTAAATAGGGAAACCAAAACATTTTTTCGCGAAAATATTAGCGATAGTTCTCAGGAGTCCATAAACCCACGAATTGCACAGCAGTGTAATGCCGTACGGGGGGAAACATGTACATCCTCAACTGCATGTGTCAGCGACAATATGGAAATTCTGAGAAAATTTTGGGGATTTTTTGTACTGCTTCCTCTACACTTCCACTAGAAGTCGTATATAAACTCCTGAGCTCAGGTGAGGAAAGCGATTACATATATTCCTACTCCAACACTGTATAGGAAACTCCTGAGCTCAGGTGCTGAGGAAAGCGATTACATATATTCCTACTCCAACACTGTATAGGAAACTCCTGAGCTCAGGTGCTGAGGAAAGCGATTACATATATTCCTACTCCAACACTGTATAGGAAACTCCTGAGCTCAGATGAGGAAAGCGATTACATATATTCCTACTCCAACACTGTATAGGAAACTCCTGAGCTCAGGTGCTGAGGAAAGCGATTACATATATTCCTACTCCAACACTGTATAGGAAACTCCTGAGCTCAGATGAGGAAAGCGATTACTTATATTCCTACTCCACCAACACTAAAATTCCATGCCGATATTAGTAATACGCACCTCCGTGCGAGACGCTGAAGATCCGATTCCACTCCAAGCCGCTCTGACTCTCGAAATTTCCCTCTTCCGATACGATGACCATCACTGCGCGCCACTTGCTAGCATTTGACAAAATCATCCTACCGAAGTCTTGATAAACCTGAGAATAGTAGTCGACCCTTCCAACCTTACGTGTCAATTTGATATGCAAATGTGTGTTATTCTGAAAGACAATTTTTAGTGAACAAGTTGTCGCTACCATCACAGTCCCAAACGGATACTTTCATCACAACACATGTTGATACGCCCATTATCGCTCCACCCCAGCGCGACTCACTTTATCCCGATTCTCTTTCCTCGGCCGCCTAGGTATGTGAGTAACAACCATGCAGTTACCAGGCGGATTCATACCAGCCTCAACTAGCGATCCACGACGCTGTATCACCAACCTCGGCACTGCAACTGCATCATCATCATCATCTGCTGCTGCTCTACCTTCTCGCGAGGCTACCACCGTATCACTCAGGAACTCCGATATAGTACCTACCAGAAAATAATCTAGAGCATCCTCCTCAGAATGCAGAGCACCCACCATATTTGCTAGTCATCGTTGGGGCCTCTGTTGCCACCACCCGACGTGGCAATGACCGTCGGAACGCCTCTACTTCCCGCTTAGCTCTAGCCACCACTTCGACGTCTGCACTAGACCCAATAATAGTAACATTCGATAACGCCTCGTGAGGAGTGACACTGATATCATCTACTAGGCTCGAGTACTCCATATGATCGTGCGTAGGAAATCTGAACAATTTTTCTAAAATTTCGCCCGAAAAAAGGCAACGTACTGTGTAAAAGGGTACTCCATCGCCGGACTCCCAGGAGGCGTTCCTGAAATCATCGCAGCTGCTTCTAAGCACAGACTTGTTGAGTGCAAAAAAGGATCAAACAAGGTACCTAGCATAGCAAAAAACATGGATATCTCCTATACAGTGTTGGAGTAGGAATATATGTAATCGCTTTCCTCAGCACCTGAGCTCAGGAGTTTCCTATACAGTGTTGGAGTAGGAATATATGTAATCGCTTTCCTCAGCATCTGAGCTCAGGAGTTTCCTATACAGTGTTGGAGTAGGAATATATGTAATCGCTTCCTTCAGCTGAGCTCAGGAGTTTCCTATACAGTGTTGGAGTAGGAATATATGTAATCGCTTCCTTCAGCTGAGCTCAGGAGTTTCCTATACAGTGTTGGAGTAGGAATATATGTTCGCTTTCCTCAGCTAAGCTCGGGAGTTTCCAAAGCTTATGAGTTTACATACGAATTCGAGTGGGAGTGTACAGCCATTAGTAAAAAATTTCCAAAATTTTCATATTGTCGCCAACACATGCAGCTGAGCATGTGCATATTCCCCCCCACTCCACCGTTTCACATGGTTCGCCCTTATCCAGCAGTTGCAGCAATGAGCTCTGTTGAAGGCATGCTGCCGCGACGTGTGAGGGTATCGTATCGACAACCTCCTCAGGAGAATACGCGCGGATCTGCTCTCCAGAGGCGTCAGCGCATATCTAAAAATAACAGCACTTTCTCAATAAACAGTGCGTGTTAATTTGATATGCAAATGTGCGTTATTTTTCGAGGTTAATGAAAATCAATATAAAACCATACCGCACATACAATGTAACAATGGCTATGAACATGTGTTGTGATGAAAGTACCCGTTTGGGACTGTGATGATAGCGACAACTTGTTCACTATAAATTGTCTTTCAAAATAACACACGTTTGCATATCAAATTGCCACGTAGTGTACAATCCTTAGTATCAAAGCGCCCTCTGAATAGGCCCCTCTAAGCATTGAATGACCAATGGTCGCTCGCTTCCTTACGTGGTGCCCTATGTACGCCCGAACATGGAATGTTCATGGATTCACCTGCTGTGTGAGCCTTTACCCTTATCGTTACCATGACGCACGCATGCGCTTTGCACGCGCGCATATGCCGATCATGAATAACGCCTTCTGTATCATCGATTTCGCTTTCCGTAGGCTAAGCTTCTGCGGAGATCAGTTCAGTTCAAGAGCTCTAACTTTATCACAAGACAGTTGAAATTTTTCATTCTTCGAGATCTCGATGACGCAGAGTTCAGTCCAGGCTGACGAAACACCAACGATTAATAACAGCTACCGAGCCTTGTACCTAATGGAGTTTCACCACCCGTTTTACGTGAAGTGGCGTCGTAAAACTCGGTGAAAAACTCGGCGATATTCGCGGTATACTGTAGTAGTCGTGAAATATATTTTTCACTAGTGTTTTTCATATCACTAGGGTGGTGGTGAAACTCCAATGTATTGTTATTCATTCATATGTACATACCCATCTTTTCCCAATTCATATCATCCTAATTTAATCGTTCAGTAAAACGGTGCAGAGGTGCTTATTTCCTTACCATTACTACAGTGGTCAGCTATAGCATTTTGAGTAAAAGTCTTAACCTCAAAAAACAACTATTTTAATACCAAAAAAATACCAATTTTTTCAAACTTTGTTAAAAAAACGCATTTTTCCCGAAAAAAGTGGGTAAATTTCCGCAAAATTCTGGCAAAAAAATAAAATTACGCAGAACCGCAGTAGAGCTAAATTACTTCGAATGAGTTGTCCACAATATTAATGAGGATCTTCGGGGCGTAAACAGTTGAATTGGCGTTGTCTTTATCGAGATCCTCATCCAGTTTCCTCGAGTTCCGAGATGCTGTTATGAATTCACGTTTGTTAACCAACTCCTCCTCTACCTAGTAGGAACTATATGAAAACACCACTGTGAAGACTTCAAAACCAGATCTAAATCAGCTTACATAGTCTTATTGCAGCAGAGCTCAAACAAGAGGGCTAAGGAGCGTAGGGAAATTCGAGAATTCACCATTCCACGCTAAGTAGTGTTTCCAACTGATACTTTAACTACATCAACCATCATGCATTCAAGTGAAACGATCATATTCGTCACCTTTTTCCATATAGAATGCCAACCGAGAAATTAATACCACACAACCGTGCAAATTTCTTTTTCCTCATTTTCACCGAAGCGCTGGAAATTACAAAGCGCACGCCCCAACGATCGATTTGACACGTTCACACGTTTCAATACTTATCAATATTCGGTAAAAACACGGGTTTCCACGAGTAAATGCTGGCCCGAGGAGATTACTATTCGTGCTATATGCCTTGGGTGGTATAACCGCGAATTGACAGACTTCACCACTATCTCTGGAACCGGCGCTTCCAATGGGATGAATTCTCCCCATTTCTGAGAAAAGATTATCGCAGATATTAGTTTTCCTCAGCTGAGCTCAGGAGGTTCTTCACTAGATTTCTTCCTAGTGATATGAAACACTAGCGAGAATATTGCATTTTTCACAGAGTATTACGCCACATACGTAAAACGGGTGATCGTGAAACTCCATATTAGCGTACAACCACCAACAACAATTCTCATATTGTCACCAACACATGTACATATTTTCCCACCACATCTCGTAGTATAAAACTCAGGTGCTTCTCCCAAGAACACTGCTGCCTCGGTCGCATATGCACCCGCACATTTTCAGCTATCCGCGACCGCAAAACCGAACTCCACAAATATCGATCCGCGCAAGCTATCGATCCTGGTACCTAAGCCTAGCAGTACAGGAATATATGTTTGGTTTCCTCAACTGAGCTCGTAGGTTTCCTCACTATTTTATGAAAAATCACACGATTTCGGGTATAAGTATACAAAAATCAACGATAATTTCCTCTCAAAATTCCCATATTCCTACCAACACATGTAGTTGACCATGTGCATACATTCCCCCCACTGGACCCCTTCTCATCGCCACTATGAGATCGACCTTACTTGGCTCGTAACAATACATTCCACTCCTCCTCGGATGATAGACAGCGACGGAGCTGGTGGAGTCTGTGCGAACGCTGGGTGCTTCGGTGGCACAGATACAGTCGCGAATATTCCCTACCACACATCGCCCTCTTCTTATGAGATCTACACTGATCGCTCACCTCAAGTTCCCGTAGTAGAGCCCGTTCGAGACCAACTGCAGTACTAACTATGAAGCTTCTTACTGGTAGGTAGGGGTTCACCCCTAGAGAGCTCATCATAGCCCTGACCAAGACAACTGCAAATTCCCCCCCAAAGGAAATTGAGCAACACAAAAATGTCAAACGAATATACCAGAAGTGTAAAAGTGTAATAGTAATCATATTTACTCAGAGAATGCGAAAGCAC